CGTGGCCTGTGCTGCACAGCCGCCTTTGCTGCCTGAAGCGCCCGGCCGCGGCTCGGCCCAGGGTGGCGTGTGGGAGCAGAGCCCGGCCGAGGGCAGCGGGCAGGAGCCGGGCTCGGCTCTTGCGGGCGGCGCGGGGGCACGGGGAGGCCGGGGCTGCCCGCGCGGGTGCTCGCCAGAAGCGGAGCCGCACAGGGTGGGCGCACTGGACGGCAGCGAGCGCCGCCTCGGCCTGCGCAGCGCTGCCCTGAGCTGCGCCTTGCTGTACGAGCTGGACTGAGCTGGGTGCTCCCGCCGCCCGCGTCTGCTCCAGCGCCAGCAGCAGAGCAGCCCCCTGTTCACTGAGCTCCTGTTCACCACTCAGCCTCCTCACTGTTAATAATTTTCATGTTAATAGGTCTGAGGTTTCTGTAGTCCAATTTATGGGCTGAAGCGTTCACTTACAAGGGAAAAAGGATGCAGTTGAGCAATTCACCTCAGGTTAACTAGAGTTCCTGGAAGAAAATGTGCCTTTACTGTGTATATAACTTTCTTATCAGTTGGTAAGTTACATGCACCATTTTTATGTATACTTTTTTTCCTAATGATTCTCTCAGGAATTGCAGTATTTAGTCCACCTTTCTATGAGCAGTATTCATCATTTTTCAAAACATTCATTTTGCGATAAGGGTAGGATTAGAGTGCCAGTGATTTTTAGCAATCAAATGAAATTCCTAATTACACAGAGCACTTCTAATTAGTCTGCTAGCACTGATCAGCCCTTCCACCACGTGTTCTGTCCCAGCGCATCACTTCACACACCCGTCTCGCATCCTACCCCAGTCTGTCTAAGGAACAGACCCATTTCACACCAACAGTCTCAGCTGCTCTCGTACACCTGGAACTAAATATTTACAGTTTGTAGAAACTGAAGCTGTTTTAACGTGGTTGGTTATGAAGGACACGGTGCTGTTTCCTGCCTCACGCACCTTGGAAAYGCGATAGCCACAAGGCTGCCTTTAGTAATAATAAAGTTTCAGTTCCCTTTTCCTGCTGCCTCTGAAGGAACTTCTGGTCTGTTCCGCTTCGCGCAGCACGAACACGTAGCTGGGAGGGTTACGCTGGTTTGAACGGGGCCCTGCTCACGGTGGGCACTGAGAGCAGGACTGCGCGGTGCCCACGCGGGAGTGGGGCAGGACGGCCACGCGGGGGGTGACTGCGGCTGCACACGCGGCCCCGGAGCTGCCCTCGCCCCCCTGCAGCCCAGCCCGGCTCAGCTCAGCTCAGCCCAGCTCAGCCCAGCCCAGCACCATGAAACCGCAGCCCGGGCGTCCACCCCAGCGCCCTGCAAGGAGGGGCCTATTGGGGGSCCCAACCCCAACAAGTGGCTGCACGATACGGTATCTGACAAAACTTGAGGCCTTCTCTCTCTCTGGCCTGTTTAACCCGTGTTTAGAACCAAACAGTTGCCAAACCAAACAAGGTGACAAAGGGGCAAACCGGAGAGCTTTGCTGTGCGCCTGTCCCTTGCTCTGCGCCCCTTCCCTTCCCTCTCCCTAACGCACAGCCCTGTTCTTCCCAGCGCCCCGGGCAGGTCAGCGCTACCGCTGCGGGGGCCACTGCAGCCCCGGCCCCGCTGCCCCGGCCCAGAGCTGCTGCACCCTGTGCAGGGGGTTGTTCCGCACACCGAGGGTTGTTCCGCACACCCCGTGCAGGGGGTTGTTCCGCACACCGAGGGTTGTTCCGCACACCCCGTGCAGGGGGTTGTTCCGCACACCCCGCACACAGGGGGCTGTTCCGCACACCCCACGCAGCGGCACTCGCTGCGAGCGGCGCCGCACGGTGCAGGCAATGCAATGCTCAGCCCAGGGTCAGGGGGGCACCCGGGCAACTCGGATACAAAAAAAAAAAGAAAAATATAAGTTATTAAAAAAAAAAGACCTCTTCCCCTCACTTCTATTCAAGCAATTAGGAGTTACAGTACCTGGTGGGGAGAGTAAAAAACTTCTGTGGTTTTACAAAAAAAAAAAAAAAATTTATTTTGGCAGAACTAAAAAAAAAAAGTATATTCATCTACATTGTGGTAAAAACAATGATTTCCTTATTTCCTTTTCCTTCATATAATGATCCAACACAGAGCACACAGAGGGGCCCGCAGGTACCGGGGCCGAGCGGCTCCGTCCTGCCCCGCTCCTCACAGCTGCCGGCTGCAGAGGGAGCCCCGGGAGCAGGGGGAATAACGCGGCAAACACTGGMAAAGGCTGCTCCTAAAAAAGGAGTTATGAAACTAATAAATGCTCCTAAATTAAGGAGTCCTGCTGCCTGCAACGGGGCCAGGGGCTCGACTGGCACCCGGGGCCGCGTGGTGCCGGGAGCGAGCCGGCCGCAGCGCCGGGCGGGAAGGACTGCTATGCTGGGACACCTTTTACAAGAGTGTTTATTCATATTAAAGCAGAAACCAACTCATAAATGCTTTCCTACATGTGAGTGTCTGTAAAAGACAGTACAATCGGTAAAGAAAAAGGCTGCCAGGACGCTCCTCACTGAAGCCTGCGGTAGCTTTTGCAGAGTTCGTGGTCCCTGATGTCCCCCCACCCTCCGTTTTTGACGTGGGGGGCGAGGGGCGCCATGGAGTACCTCTTGCTGACACTCATGGTCGCGGGGAACAGGTGCTCTTGGTTGCTGCTCAGGAGCGAGTCGATTTTGGCACTCTGGCTGCCGGGTCTGCAGGCCTTCTTGTGGTGCATGCCGCAGTCCCCGGTGTGGAAAATGCGCGGGATCTCGGGCACCAGCACTTTCCAGAACTTTGGAAGACAGGAGACAGTCAAGTGCTGCAGGGTCCAGTCCCAGTTGTAGTCGTCGTAGGTGCAGAAGGCGTCCGTGCACTCGATGAGCTGCCGGTAGGTGTCCCTGCCGAAGGCCATGCCCATGTTGTGCTCCGTGGACTTCCACGTCTTCACCTCGGCCTTGTCGGCGCGGCCGGCGAAGCCGCCGCGCACGGGGCCGTAGCCGCCGAGCGACACGATCTGGCAGTCGGGGCAGTCGCGCGCGCGCAGCGCCCACAGCCGCTTGAGCACGTGGTAGAAGTCGGGCGCCAGGTAGTGGTCCTCCTCGAGGAAGAGCACGGGCCCCGCGTGCTCGCGCAGCGCCCGCACGCGCTCCCACACGAAGTGCAGCTTCCACCACCAGTGGTGCTTGGCCTGGGCGAAGCGCGCCTCGCGGTAGTGCCCGAAGGAGTCGGGGAAGTCGGCGTTGAGGCAGCCGAGGCGCAGCGCGGCCGCGCGGCCCACGTCGCGCGGGCAGTCGCGCGGGTCGTGCCCRGGGAACTCGCGCGGGTAGAGCTGCGCGCTGAACGGGAAGAACACCTGGAGCACGGCGCAGAAGTCCACGCGCGCCGCCAGCGCGTTCAGCTCCTCGGCCCACACGTCGTGGCTCAGCACGAGCAGCACGTTCTCGACGCCGGGCGCGCGCCGCAGCGACGCCAGCAGCAGCCGCAGGTGCTCGGCGCGCTCGTGCACCTGCACCACGAGCACCACGTCGGCGGCGGCGGCGCGCGGCGCGAAGCGGCCCGCGTTGCGCAGCGGCTGGTCGAAGTTGAGCCGGTAGACGAGCGCGC